ATAAAATACGTATATATCTATATACATATATAGGATACAGATATATATATGTATATATAGTATATATAGTATATATTTATAAATATATATATACATATATATATATACATATATATATGTATATATATATATATATATATATATATATATTATGTATATATATATATACATATATAGGATACAGATATATAAATATATATATATATTTGTATATATATATAGATATATATATTTGTATTTATATATATATATATATATATATATATATATATATATATATATACATATACATATGCCTGTACATATACATACATATATATATATATATATATATATATATATTTATATATATACATATATATATATATATATATATATATATATATATATACATACATATCTGCATATGTATATAGGTATATAATGTACCTGATGGGCGTATGCATAGCACATGGTCTCACTGACGCGCTTGCCTTCGTCGTAACACGCTCGTGGTCCGATAGGATTGACATGGCCCCAGTACTCCTCTTGCTGTGGGTGCATCTCCGGATCGCCTGAGATTCGGATATTTAAAATAAGAGACTGAGTTAACGCAATTGCTATGTACCAAACGTTTGAGGACATTTGCCCTAGGTGTCAATACATATACAATGTGTGTATGTTCATGGATTCATAGATTTTAGGTCCATATCTTTAATACATGTGCGTGCATAGGTGCTAAATTGAAAGAAATCGTTAATAGTACAGGGAGGTACGTGCGGATGCTTAATTGTTAGACGCAATACACATTGCATGATCTTCAAAGTATGTTTTGACGCCGCAGCCTGACATGCGGCGACGCGTCAGTACCGAAGCGAATGCGTCGTGCGTTTATGTGTATATTATACACACACACACACACACACACATATATATATATATATATCCTACATACTATAGAATGGTACACATCATACCTACATACCATAAACCTCCGAAGTCGAGGCCATGAGCAGCCTTGCACGCACCCTCCTGGCCAGACCAAGCATGTTTAATGTGCCCATGGTGTTCGTCTTGATGGTTTTAATGGGATTGTACTGGTAGTGTGGGGGGGATGCTGGACAGGCCAGATGGTAAATTTGGTCCACTTCCACCATAATCGGGTTGATGACATCGTGTCGGATGATGTCGAAATTAGGGTGCCCAACCCTGCGATTGCCGAAATAATAATAAAACCGAAATTAAACTCCGTGCGTCAGTGTTAGTGTGATGGCGGTATTGCAAGTAGCGGAAATTAAAAGGTATAATTGCCGGTCTAGTCTATATACTTAATTTGATTTCTTGGTCTAGCCTGTATTGAGATTTGAATTATATTAAAATTATAATTACTGGTCGAGCCTATCTTTAAAATTTTCCTATTTTGTGTTCGAGTGGCATCGCTTATATACAAAAGGCGATCACACGAAAAAAACATACGCACAAGTACGCCCTAATAGGCATCTATATTCGCATACATATACAGTGGCTATATTGCCCTGCAACCATATATACCTCATATATTCACGTCCATATCTTAATACACAAAGATACAGTGCATGTACTTGATCCGATACATAATCAAGGGTATAATACCCTACAAGCACATATACCTCATATATACATTTCCATATCTCAATACACAAAGACACACGTGCATGGATGTAATCCGTCCCATACCAATGCTCTATATTAGCTTTCCGGCCAGTAAAGTAGTTGTCGACCACAGTTACCTCGTGTCCACGTGCCATTAGCTTATCTACCAGATGCGACCCTACAAAACCCGCCCCTCCCGAAACGAGAATACGCTTTCTCTCCAGCATATTAAGTTCTTGAACCGGCGGGAAAGCCTATGGGAAAGGGATAAAGAGATGAATACATATTCGAGAGAGAATTTTTTTTTGAGTACTGTTAGCGTTTGTATTGGCGGGTAGGCATGGAAGTGATGTAGTGGAGATTGAGAGACGATTATGGATAATATATATATATATATATATATCTATATATAAATATATATATAATATATATATGTT